TTCCCCACAGTATTTCATCAGGCATTCCTGACAGTTTGCAGGTACTCAGTTTTGCTCTTGGGTGAATACTCACAAAAAAGTCAAGTTGAACAACTTTCCTTAAATTTTCCCTACCAATATCAATTTTTTTTAATTCATCCAATTTCAATTTGTACACCAAAATTGTGCAATAAAAATTAAAGGTTACCATGATGTTTTTTAAAGAGTTTAACACCATCATACGTCTTTACCTGGCCCATTAATTAAAAATCATTACCATGTTCTTAGAATGTGCATGCTTATTCACCTGATTAAATGATTTTCATGTGCATTACAGGATGCGGAATGTAGTACTGAAGAATCACCCTGTCAATTCAATGTTTTTGTGGCTGATAATTTAACGAACAACCTACACAACTGTACCTTATAAATGATCAAAAGTCTTGTGAACTTAAGATTAGCTTCTGTTTCAACAACAGCAGCACCTTTGACCTACAAATGAAATATTGAAAAAGCCATTTATCCTTAAATGTTTTCAAGTTTTCAAGAAGTGAGGAGTGAGAAGAAACAAAAATATTATTTGAAAAATGTTGTTGAAAATACAAGTAACAACAAATTCTCATAAGTTTCATGGAGCTGTCTAAGTTTTGACGTTATGGCCTCATTTTTGAGATGCGCCAAACTAACTGGAACAATAAGGTGACCACAAATTATGTGAGGGTGAGGAAAAAAATTAAAGTTATCATTAGAACTGGATCAAAGGTACGGTTTAGTTTTATTACCCGAGTGTCAATTTCAATTCATGATATCCCCCATTGACACAAAACCACAGTTCCCAAAGAAACATACTTTCTTTGTTAATTTGTAAACAGTACAGTCAAGTGTCAACTTACTCTGTTGTAGAGTTTCAGTGCTTCAGAGAGTCTCTCTACAATATCATCTTCACTGAGTGCTTGTGGATTCCTAAACTTCGACTCATCTACATCACCTCCTAGCCCATTCATTGTCAAATTCACAGAATTTGAAGCACACTCAATTGGCAAAATCAATGATTTTCTGTCCTTTTCTGTAGCAGTTCTTGTCATTACTAAAGATGCTGCACATTGCCCCTCCATTGCACCAGCGAGCCAAAGAAGATCATTCACCACCCTTAAATGTTCTCCAGCAATGAGGTATTGAGCGAGAGCTTCTTGAGGCAGACCAGCCAACATACACAAATCTCCAGTGTACTTTTTTGATCTCCCGATAGCTTTTCTTTTGCTTGTCCTGAAAGAAAAATTCAGGCTATGTTATTGAGTCCTGAGAAAATGTTCTTTGATCTTTACACAAGGGAGATTGGAAAAAAATAGAGAGAAAGAAAGGATTGGGACTTATAAATAATGAATTATATATGAAGTGAGTCAATCAGTGTAATGAATGAACAAGTTTCAATCCATTAACCTACTGACGTCCAGTGCGCCTGTATGCGCCCATGTGGACCCACACCCTTTTCTATGCCTTGTGACGTCATCACTTTTAACCCTGGAGCACGACTTTGAGCACGTACTTGAACAGGTTGAAAATATCTTACAAACGATACCAGAATGAGCGCAATTGAGTGAAGGAGATTCGAGAAATAGCCAAAAAATCATGTAACTTTGACCCGAAAATCTGCACGAAAATCTTGTTCCATTACCCACCTACCTTTCTGAGCATGTGGTTTGAAAATAATGAGTAATTTTCTAAAAAATCTCTACACCAAAATGAAGCCTACTAAATTTCCAGCAAGTGAGGGGAAACTTCAGGCAAGGAGAGGGGAAAAAAAGGGCAAAAAAAAAAAAAAAAAAAAAAAAAAAAAAAAAAAAAAAAAAAAAGGGAAAGAAAGAGAGAGAAGTAAAAGTCGTAAGTGGGGCATTACTTTTCAACCCAAACACTATCTCGAAATTTTTCTTTCTGCACGTTCCCGAGATTTTCAGGCAGCCATTTTGCATTTGGATTGAAAGGCCGTTGAGTGTACAGTACAAGCTGTCAATGGGTTTGTGGTAAGTTTAAGCTTTTAAAACCAAAACAGTGACCTGAAATCTGCTCGACTAGCTACAAAACACAGTTTTTCACTAAAGCTGCGGCTATTAATGGGTTAATCAAATGCTTAAAGTAAATCTGTCAATTTAGTCAGTCAATATCATAAAAAAGGCTGTGGTTAGTCAATGCTGTAAATACTCTTGAAATGAAATGAAGTCACTGCCAATATGGAGTATAACGTTTTGTCTGTCAAGCCTCAAGAAATCTGCCTATGAGGAGGTGAGATTTGTGTGTATGTGGATGTGGCTTGTAATGTTTCAGTTGAAATTGCACAATCCCCATTAACAGCAACTGCCTTGATAGAAAAAATACATCATATATCATTTTACACTAATCAATTGGTCATTGGATAAGCCAGTCAGTCAATTGATTATTGATTAATCAAACATTAATCAAGCAATCACTGCATTATACATCATAGTCGGTTTTTCAGTCTGTCGGTCAGTCAGTCTGACTTACAGTAAGCCACAGCCAGTCAGTCAGACAGCCAATCAGTCAGTCAGTCTGACTTACAGTAAGACACAACCAGTCAGTCAGTCAATCAGTCAGTCAGTCTGACTTACAGTAAGACACAACCAGTCAGTCAGTCAATCAGTCAGTCAGTCTGACTTACAGTAAGACACAACCAGTCAGTCAGTCAATCAGTCTGATTTACAGTAAGACACAACCAGTCAGTCAGTCAATCAGTCAGACAGTCTGACTTACAGTAAGACACAACCAGTCCATCAGATGGCCAATCAGTCAGTCAGTCTGACTTACAGTAAGTCAAACCCAGTCAGTCAGATAGCCAATCAGTCAGTTAGTCTGACTTACAGTGAGACACAACCAGTCAGTCAGATGGCCAATCAGTCAGTCAGTCTGACTTACAGTAAGACACAACCAGTCAGTCAGTCTGACTTACAGTAAGACAAAACCAGTCAGTCAGTCAATCAGTCAGTCAGTCTGACTTACAGTAAGACACAACCAGTCAGTCAGTCAATCAGTCAGTCAGTCTGATTTACAGTAAGACACAACCAGTCAGTCAGTCAATCAGTCAGTCAGTCTGATTTACAGTAAGACACAACCAGTCAGTCAGTCAATCAGTCAGACAGTCTGACTTACAGTAAGACACAACCAGTCCATCAGATGGCCAATCAGTCAGTCAGTCTGACTTACAGTAAGTCAAACCCAGTCAGTCAGATAGCCAATCAGTCAGTCAGTCTGACTTACAGTAAGTCAAACCCAGTTAGTCAGATAGCCAATCAGTCAGTCAGTCTGACTTACAGTAAGTCACAGCCAGTCAGTTTTTTAGTCAGTCAGTCAGTAACATAAACATTCAATAAAGATAGGTTTGAGTTTATCAAATGATAGTTACAAAGGTGCGTTAACATCTAAATTACACTGTTGGCTTTTAGATCAGTCACTTCAATGAAGTAATATTTACTTCAATTGCTTTAATTCAAGTCATCCAATAGGACAATCAGATGATATACTGCAGAGAGTCAAGCAAATGGGTGGATGAACTGATTGATAAACAGACAGATTGATAGACAGGCAGACACACAAACAGCCAGAAAGATGCACAGAGGATCAGTTGAAGAGTACTTGATAAGAGACAATTCATGAGTTCATCACTTTTGCCACAAATATACTTGATGAACAGTCAGTAAGTTTATATGCAGGTTTTTATCATGCTGCGTCTTTCATTCAGCATGAATCAACTGAGAACTGTCTGCCAATTGGCAAGAACTGCCACCCATGTAGGGAAAGAGCCATTGGGTGTAAATATCTCTTACCAACCAAATTTTAGGCCAAACTGTGAGTTACAGACCAAGTTTTATTCTGCTCAAACTTATGGACCAAGGGCTTTCATTAATCCCGGCATACAGAAAAGACAGAGAAAACGAGATTAATAAGATTTTTATAATATCTCTGGGTTCAATCAGAGGGGAACGATTTTAATTCAAACAAACTTTTGAATTTAGTCGACCGTACATTTAAGTACAGCCCAATTAACTGACAAATCATACAACATGCACTAAACGAGGATATAATAAAGAAAAAGATGGTGCATTGACCTCTTAATTCTAGTGCCTATTCATCCTTACCTACTATCATTCTCTCCTCCGAAAACTTCATGCTCTACCGGTGCCTGAATCAGGGTTATTTTATCAATCTTCTCTGACAGTTTACTGATCCTCTTCGATTCCAGTACGTTAAACAACGAGGCTACAAATTCTGCGAGGTTACTTTGAAGATCTTCGGAATGATCTTCGCCTCTGATAAGAGCAAAATCTTTCCTGATCTTTGATTCGTCGTTGGACTTGCAGCCAAAGACAAAACATCTCGTGTTTAGAAGTATAGCACTGAAAGGATTTTTAATTTCATTGATCGCTTTTTCCAACTTTTCCACTTCTGAAATCTCGGTGCACCGTCCAACACAAATAAGCCCTAAGACTCGTTTGTGAAAATGAAAATTTCCCCATTCAATAAATTGAGGACTAACCCTTTTCGAGTAACGAAGGTTTAGCGTCCTAGTTGTGTTAGGTACCTGTGCAGTACGATAGGTGGAAATTTCGTCGAAAATTGCTTTGAATCGTTTATCACCGATGTAACCCACAGGTTGAACAAGTATTAAGACCCCACTATGGTCCAATAGGCTTTGGCCGAAGTCTATTCTCAGCATACTACAGGAAAATGCACTGCATATTTGATGCCGAGAAGAGTGAATTCAGTTTCTGTCCGCCATCTTGCAAATGCGCAATTGGTGTCCATCACTGGATAATAGTGCGCATAACTTGGGAACGTGTCCCGCTGTTTGACCTCTGATCTTATAGGAGGCTCGCAAAAAATCTGATAAGATTTTCTCATTTTATCTAATTAATTCGACTTTTTACCCCATAACTCTAAAAGATTTACTCTTATGAATAACTTCTTCATCACTGGACATTGCCTTTCATAATATTCTTATTCCATGCGGAATTCTTAGTAAGTCACGCAATAAGCCTCGTGTTGTAATTACAAAGTTCTTCTCGTTCGCCACATTTCCGAGAAATTACTTGTACTTCGGACTTTAAACTTCCATTAGACAAGCTAAAACACGCCTCATACCATACCCTTGGGATTTCGTTATATTGTTTCAGCTCACATGATAAAATCCATTGCAAAACAGAGGTTCTTGATCCCAATAAATAAATTATTTTAGGAAAATTTATCTGTGGACGTTTGTGGCCTGGGAACTTTACTTAGCTGTCTCGAAACCTGCCGAGATGGAGTTGTTGTCAGGAGTATTCCATCTAGGATGTGGATTATTTTATATTTACGGCACTTACTGGGACTTTCAAATTGTAACACCTCCTGTAAGCACCTATGGAGGAAGATGGAAATTTCTAACGTTCTTGAATTTGGTGAGAAAGTTTTTATATTTTAGCATAGTTCTAATAACTGCGCTGACCTTCGAATCATGTAAGCAATACCGGCAGATTCCGAAGTATGCACGATCTTATATGTAAGAAAAATTGTCTTTCGATCATAGATATACCGATATAAAATATTGGATTCCTCCTTTAAAGCCATTGTCAACTCTTATCCCAGTGAAAATTAACTTGCTGTGGTGCCTGTAATGTATCCGTTTACAGCCGTCTCCATGAATTTTGGGTATATACGATGAATATGTGAAGTTATTAAAAATGTTCTGTGCATCATTCGTATCCATGAATTTTGTTACTCAAAGAAAAAAAAAAAAAAAGCCTGGTACACAAGATCTTTGAAGTTTGAGCGATTTTAAGAACACAGATTTAGGAAAATGAACGCTGAAGGGATGCTAAAACCGTGGCAAAATAATTCCTTAAAACTCATAAGTAGTAAGATTACACTTGCTGCAGTCTTTCTGTTAAAATTTTCTGTTAAAATGATCTTGGGTACACATGCATGTGAACTGATTACGTAATTGTGGGTCATTTTACCATATTGTGTCATTGAAGTTAAGATTACTCGTGCTGATATTGGGTATTAAGAATCCCCTTTTGATATATTTTTTTCGGAGCTGAAACTGAACATTTGAATATACTTTTGACATATGGCTTAGCCCATTCTTTCATCTTTAAATTATTCTTTTGAATGTTTCAATTAAAGAGTTGAATAGGACTGAGTGGAGACCAATTATGTTCTTTCACCAACCAGAGGAGAGATAAGCAAAATTATTATAAACTAGATCATTGGATAATGCAATTCAAGACTTTTTAATGGCTTAGCCATTATGGTCTATCAGCCAATCTACCATAATCTACAAATATGGTAAGCATACGTGTCAGCTTAAAATTAAAAGGGAGCTAAAAAATTTAAAAAAATTTAATAATTTAATTTAATGTTGTTAATAAAACAATTATTCAACTTGTGCTTGTTGGATATGAGATGATTATAGCCAACTCGGCACTACGTGCCTTGTTGGCTATCTATCATATCATATCCAATGCGCGATTGTAGAATAATTGTCAATTATTAAAAACTGGATCATTGGATAATGCAATTCAAGACTTTTTATTGGCTTAGCCATTATGGTATATAAGCCAATATACCATAATCTACCAATATGGTTAGCGTACGTGTCAGCTTAAAATTACAAGGGAGCTAAAAAATTTGTCTGATATAAAGATTTGTCTAATATCATGGGGGCGTTTTCAATAAAACAATTATTCAACTTGTGCTTGTTGGATATGAGATGATTATAGCCAACTCTGCGCTATGTGCCTTGTTGGCTATCTATCATCTCATATCCAACGCGCTTATGGAATAATGTTTAATTAGATAATGGTCTAATTTTACAATTGCGTGCTTGGTTGCCAAGCCTTTGAACAGGAGTGAGGCTTAAAGGGTAATGCTGTTGTGATACAAGGATTGCTGCTTTTCAAATGTAAATTACTTTTTTGTTGTGCTATATGTGTTATTAACCAAGCATGAGGTTAAGATGGCTGGATATTGGCTGAGTGTTTTTTTTACATTTTTATGGACCAAGATGAAGTTGAGGCCGTAAAAAAGTGAATAAAGAATGAGGTTAATATCTGCCATCTTGACGAAACAAGCTTGGTTAATATAGGATTTTTTACTTTGCAAAAATATTTGGCTTTTTTAAGAATTAAGAAATGACTTGTTGACTTTGAGAGCCAGGAAAGAAAGCCAACTGTGTTTGTACATGTAGCACAACAAACTCACGAGAGCCATTTCTGTCTTCTTTGTTTTGAGTATCTTCTGTTGCTTTTTGCATTTCCATCGCTGAAATTGTCCACGAATTACAAATGTAGTTTTAATTCTATTTATTTTCATGCGTGGGATCAGTGTGGCTGATCCTGGGCCCATCTTGCCTGGTCAGGTAGCCTATCAGAGCACAGGATTTGCTTCATCTTGCCCATAAGCGCTGCAAGTGATGTAATAAAAGTAGATACTGGTCTCTATCACAACAAAGTCACCTTCAGCATCACAAAACCAAATCAAAGGCTTGAAAACTAAATACACAACTTCAAAATGGCCTATTGTCAATGGCAGTTTGTTTTTTTTTTTTTGCCCAAATGTGATCTGTCAACTATGATTAATTTACCAATCAATCAAAACGGTGACAAAGCTTTGGTGATTTGTAGTCACAAATGAAGGACATAACAGACTCTTTCTTTGTGGTTATTCATTAACTTTTACCATAAGGGGTTGCCTCTGATTTCATAGCCGGCTGTGTCCTTACAAGGCCGGCTGTGAGGTGAAACCCTGGCAAGTGAACCAGAAGTCTATGCAACAGGGGGCCCAAATGATATGTTCTGTCATACTGCACAGGCATAACTAGTAGACTGTCCTAGAACAATGTCCAGTTACAAGCTTGATGCACGGACTTTCTTAAGTGCTCAAATTGGGCTGCTGATAATTAAAAACATCCAAGAATCTTATTTGAGTGTTGATTCTGAAAACTGTTACTTTCTTTCAGATTATTCAATTGTTGTACTTCTTCGTAGCTCCACTGGGTGACTTACTAACTCTTCTGAGTGGACGGAGGGATAACTGGCTTGTTAAACTGCGTGATTTACTTTTTTCATCTTTAGCATTTCCTCTAGGTTTGGTAAGTCTTTTGTTTTTGCAACATTTAAATAGGCTTGCTCAGTTCAGCTCTAAAGCTGGGTTATATTTTTAAGATCCTGAGCATTGTGCAGTCTAGGCCTGCTGCATGACAATCCAATGCTCTACAACTTGAGCAGACCAAATGAAGGAAATAAAATGCATAATTACCCATGCTTACACTTAGGGAACTTTATGATAAAAGTTTTCTCAGTCTGTTGAATTGTTTTTCCATTCCAGTTTGTTGCAACTACCTTTTGGGGTATATATGCGATGGACAGAGAGCTAATATTTCCTCGTGCATTGGATAAGATATTCCCTCGATGGCTCAATCATATTTTGGTATGAGTTTTAAGTTCTTTTTTAACTGACTGCAGTGCTTTCAGTGTAGTATATCTAATAAACAGAAGGTTGTACGAGCTAACTCATAACATTATACTAACCTCTGAACTCAACTTTAACCCTGTAAAGTGAAAATCTTAAGAGAGACTTGCACCTGATAATTGTTCCTCACACGATCTGATTCCTGAATTAAACACTATTTCTAAACCTTGGTGTGAATGTAAGAAATCATCTCCAGCAAATAAAGCTCCTGATTTTGAAACAAATTCTCCTTTTTTAGTAACATACAAATTGTATAGAAAACAGAATTGAGAATGTATGTAGTGATACGATATAGCCTTCTTGCAGGTGGTAATTTGTGTTTCAGTGTGGTGAACATTTGGTTGCTGTATTAGATGGCTGGAAAGTTT